GTTGTTCGTGATCCTTTGCAACTAGTTATATCTTCCTACTATTTTTCACGTCAAACATGCATCAAAGAACGTCGATGCTACCTCAATGTAGCTTTCCTAAATGAAACACTAGATGACTGCGTTGAACGTCGATCGGCTAATGAATGTATCTCCGAATCGCAGGGTGTCAGTCCAATGTTACCCTTTTTCTGTGGAAATGAAATTGAATGTGAACAAAACAAAACATTTGCATTGATCAAGGCAAAAGAGAATATTGACAAGTATTATACGGTGGTTGGTATCGTTGAAGAATTATATAACTTTCTTTTCGTGCTTGAACACTTACTGCCAAGATACTTTGCTAACATACGTCTTACATACATGTCTAAAGGGATGAGTAGAACAGATAACAAAAGGTCCAACATTGTCGAGAACAAGGATCCTAGTGAAGTGAACAAAAGAGCATTACGTGCTGCACTCGCAAATGAATATGAACTGTATGATTTCATCAAACGACGTTTTCACTTACAATTTCAAGGAGTTTTAAAAACTTTTACAAACTAGAAACACCAAAGTGATGAGAAACCATTGCCACACTACTGAATGTGACTCAGCAAAGAACTTCCATTTCTGATGGATTAAAGGCGTTTGATCGCATCTTTTGTCTAAGGGAAAATAAATTTCTCAGAATAGAACCGTTTTTATGATCTATATATATATAATGTTCAGTGTGTATATTTTTATCTGTACCGAGTCAACAGTTAAAGATCAGATGTGGTTGAATGTAGAGTGACTTGTAATGAGGGTGTTTAGGTAGAAGCTGATGTGAGATGCTGTAGAGTGACAGTGAAGTGAACGTGAGTGAGTGAAGACTGGTGTAATGTGTGAAGTAAAGACGTTGGATTTAGATGTGACATGAGAGTGATCGGAGCACTGTCAGGATGAGGGAGGCGTGTGGCTGCGGAAATTGTTGTATGGAGGCGAGGGGATACGAGTGGTATTGTTAAGTGACAGTGGATGTGCGTATGCGTTCGTGTGTGGATGGGTGAGGTTGCGGTTGTATTGGAGCTCATGAAGTCATACCTAAAGCGCAGCTACATACAATATTCTTACTTCAAACATACAACCGCCTGTATCATCTACCCACACAAATAACCTGTGTGAAAATAGTGGATGTAACGGTTCTAACTTCATCGTTTACAATTTCCTCACCGTCAACAACAGCTTGCGTTCGTGACGAAAACAAACGACCGTGCAGTGCACTGGGTCTTGCTAGTATATTATAAAGATGATTGTAATTCAATTCATATTCATGCTCTCAAGAAAAACTAATAAAGCCTAAACACAGGATGAGCATAACCCTTTGGCCAAGAAATATTGGACTTTCAGAGAGTTTCCATTTCAGATGCACACGAAGGTGTTCTGAAAATCGAAGTGAAGAAAACCTAAGTATCTTTTTCATAGATAAGACAACTTACCAGTGGTTTACAGTTTAGTTTGATACTTCTTGAAGTTTCATTTCAGATAAGTTTGTTTACAAGAGTTGTTCGAAATGACCATCATCAATCATAATACATAAGTTTATCCTTTTCTGAGGTTCGACACAATATCAAACACAGATTCTTTGGAAATTTTATTGGTTTAAGTGACGATTATCTATCTCGACTTTTGAGACTTTTGACAACCGCCTTATAAATAGTCTTCTTTATATGATCTGGCAAAACATTGAGTGACGCTAGGGCAGAAGACCATGGTGTTTAAATATGTGAAGGGCTTATTTCAATTAATCTGCTCAAAAGTGTGTCGTGCCTGAAATTTTCCACATAATTCAGAGGGTCTTGTTCACAGAGGTTTAGAATGAAGGTGATCATGTAAGAAAGGCTGTTCTTGTAGGCAGGAATTGCAACTGAAGAATGCCATTAAAATGTCACACAAAGTAATAAAATTAACGATGAAAAGCTGTCACAGAAATTCAAAGTAGATTTTATTTCAGGCATTACAATGAGGGTTTTGAGTTACATGAGAATGGTCTTAAGCGAAACGCTGTAATGCGTTACACAAAATTTACTTTTGAGATTTTTCGTGACAATTTTTCAGCATTATTTTATGACTTTTTGTATCACTTAAAGGAAATCCTTCCCAGACGCTAAATTTTCAGTTTATTCGATTTTTCGCTTTTATTGTTGAGTATATGGATAGAAATGTCTTCTATCTCATGCGCACATTTTAAGGACGTAAAAAGATCCTTTGCCATGTAGGAATTCGAAAAAATCTTAATTTTATGCTTAAAAAAGCCAAAAATTGCAGCTTTCTTTGCGATTGTCTAAAAACCAGATTTTCAAACGAAAAAACCGAAGTTTTTCCCCTCTTCTTCTAGACAGTTCGATCGATTGGGCTCAAACACTTCAATCAAAACATTTTCTGAAAAAACTCAGCTAGAAATATTTGAATACCATCAAACTAAAAAGAAACGAGTATTGCGTAGTGTGGTACCTGTTATTTTGAATATATCCTTTTTCGTCAGTATTGATCATGTTGATGTCTGAATGAATACTGTATTCAATCAACTCAAGAACAAAGTATTTTACTTATAAATTAGAGTTATTTCCATGGTTTTGTATCACTCGTAAACATTAGATGAAATCGAGTGTAAAATATAAAATACTATTTGCTTGATCCTAATCATAAAGAGTTCGAATTGTCCAATTCCATCATAAACTTATCAAAAGAGTGTTTAAACTAATGTCTTGAATCAAATTTTTATAAGTGAAGTTTCTCAGAATAAGCTGCTTTAAACTATTTATGTTCATTATTCTTTGGCGAAATAATGATAAAAGAATATACTCAAAATGCATTAGGAAAATGTTCATGACAAAATCATAGTATCATGTGCATTCGATTTCATGAAATTTTTTATAAATTGAAATTTACATCCAATGAATTAAGAAGAAACTATTGAAATCATGTTAAATAAAGAACAGATAATTATTCAACAGAGAAATATGAAACGATTAAAAAGAATGATGAAATCACATGACGGTGTTGAACGTGCGGTTGATTTGATTGAAATGATTACTGAACATGGAGCAGAATCATTTATACCCATTAATAATTCATATTCGTGATATGCTTATTATAATTTAGATATTTATGCTATTTGGTTATTGATCATCGTTGGATTAGAGCAGTTCATTGTCCGTTGTTGTTGTTGTTGTTGTTGTTGTTGTTGTTGTCGTTTGACTCAAAAATCATTGAAGATGAAAACTTCATGATATTTATCGAAGAAATATGAAGTTTTACAAATTGAATGACAGTGAACATAGAACGTTTTTGTTATTGAATAAACATGAGGCCTCATATTAATTAATTATAAGTTTTCTGTGTTTTTTAGAGACTCAGTAAGCATACTCTTGACGATTGGTGCTTGTTTTTATCAGACATAGTCTGCAGATGAATTCACAAGACAAACAAAAGATTATGTGCAACTTTGCAACCAAACATTCATGATCTTTTGCAGAACTCACCATGTAGTAATAAGTCTACAGGTTTCAATCGGAACTTCGGGCCACCGCATCGAAAACGCTGATTCTTAAAAGAGAATTTGCAGCAGTTTGGAGTTAGATGACCTTGCCATCAGTATGACAATGAATTTCACAAAAATGTCAGATCTTTGTCGTAGTATTACGTTTAATGCTGTTTAGAAGCTTGGGTGTGGGTGTGAGTTAAGAGAAGATCTAAATACTCATTCATAGCTATGTCTACACCCCATACAAGGGATCGAATCAAATTTTACTGGTTCGAGTTCGGTTCGATTCGGACCAGACTTCATTTACTCACAAAAACAAGGCTTCTAAAGTATACTGCGCTTGAGCATCATGACCGTATTATACCAGATCACTGATTTAATGCATAAATGGTTATTCGTCTTGAACTGCAGCAAGGGTGTGCGTTAAGAGGGTGTGGGTGTAGATAGTTGTCTAGGAAGAGACGAGTTACTTACACGCCGGCACCGACATACCCACACCCAAGAGAGCTTTTATACTGTTCATCATTTCTGCTGCTGCATTTATTCATGAAACAAGAACAAATAGATAGTTTCATTCTTTAATAAAGGCATTTTTTGGAAAGCTTTTTTCAAGAAAACCACAGAAACGGTTGATTAGATCTAGGCATGCTGACAAGCAAAAGATGCAAAGTTTGCTATTATCATTCGATGTTTGCTTAGTTTCATGTGGGTCTTTATCGCATATTCAATACACATTGCTCTTGAGTTTTCGGATACCTTGCACAGGTACTTATCAGTGAAGAAATTGCTTGTGAAAGACATCCAAAAAAGCACAAGAAAAAGATATTGTGCGCATCACACTTTACGAAACCAACACAAGAGAAAGACTACGATGCATTTCATCCTTCTTGTGTTCGTCTATTTCGTTCGATTCATTACAGCTGAAGACGCAACAGTATTAAATTCAATATATCCATGGCTACGACTGCCACCAACACCTCAACTCCCTTCTCCTCGTACTGATCGATACGCAGAGATCAATAATATTCGCATCTGGTACACCATTTATGGGCCAGAGAATGGTATGCCTCTTCTTTTTCTTCACGGTGGATTTGCTAATAGTGATTATTGGGGCTTACAAGTTCAAGAGTTGCAATATACGTATAAATGTATTCTGATGGATTCTCGAGGACAAGGACGAAGTTCATCATCTTCTGAAAATATAAATTATGATCTAATGACCTCTGATATCCTCGGTCTTCTTGACTATCTTGGCATCAACCAGATACATCTAGTTGGCTGGAGTGATGGAGCAAATATTGGGCTCAATTTGGCGATGAATTACCCTCAGAGACTAATTTCATTGTTTGCATTCGCAGCAAACTATGTTTTTTCTGGTATAAAAGATGTGTCTGAATCGCCTGTTGCCACTGCCTATTTCACACGTGTTCAAGCCGAATACGAAACAATGAGTCCGATCAAGCAATTTCAGTATCTGTATAATAATTTAACAGTCATGTGGAGTAGTCTTCCAAATTGGACGAAAGATGATTTTGCCAAGATTTCTTCAGACTTGCCTGTATGGGTAGTAGTTGGTGATCACGAAGAAGCTGTCAATAGAGATCAACCAGATACAATAACTAGTTGGATTCCACAAGCAGGTGAATTGATTCTACCAAGAACGAGTCATTTTGCGTTTATACAGGATCCCGAAATGTTTACTATGACTTTAGCAAAGTTCTTGCGTGAGGTGGATAACCCAACACATGGCTTGAGTGATGGTTTAGCACGTGTCAGCAGCTGTTTTCGGCCCTAAATCAACTCATCTCCTAGTTTTATGTTGATGATCATGTCTCTGGATACATTTCTCCTACATTTTTCAACTCTCATACTATTGATATCGATCATTTTTATCCTTCTCGAAAAAAAATATGATTATAAAATGAAAATAGTGAGTGCGCCAAACATGTTAGCATACTTTTTGTTTTGTTTTTTTCTCACTCAATTTCGATTACAGAAACTGATGCTCAATCTTTTGATATTCTTTATTCAATTTGATACAAAGTTACACAAAAAATTTTGCGCTAAACTTTCAATTCAAACAGTAGCAGCATAATAGTGTGCTTCTGCAATTAATGCAACACTTCAGGATGAAAATGAGAGATTTTCATTTTCTTCGTGCAAACTTTGACTATCTAAACATACTTGTTACTTATTTTGAAGTTCACAAAGTGCTCTAACTATCAGCTATGTGCCATAAATATTCATATTAAATTTGATTGCTTTCAAGAAGAAAGCTTTTTTTTCACAGCTTACAAAATAGCGCAATCTTAAATTATCAGTTTAAAGACATTCAGAAAATTTTTAAAAAATTGAACCAATATATTTATCTTCCGTGGTCACGTTTCGCCAGTTTTCATAGAAATGAATGCTATGTTACACAGCCACCGCACAATGAGAAGAGAAGTATTAGTTTCTACTTTTGATGTCAAAATAATACTCCGTTCATCACTCGATAATTTGATATATTGATCGTAGAGCCGCAGATATCGAAAGCAAGATAGACTTTTACATTTATTACGAAGACATATCTAATGGCAACTGTAATAAGTGAAAAATGATTCAACACCCGAAAAGATTCTCTCGCAAGATGCAATCATATTAAGCAAATTGTTGGGAATGCATAATTCAAATTTATCATTTATACTCGATTGTTTCAATGAAACTCATTTAACATAGATGAACGAGAATAAGTGTCTTTCTCGGAACATAATCCTGATGGGTAATATTATCGTTATTTCTTTTGCAAAATTAAATAGGTCGATCGCATTGGACTATGGTGCATCTCAGGCTGTTCTTTAACACGTTGTTCGTACATGGCCCAAAACAGGTTTGTGATTTTCTCCTTCCCTTCATTCATCGCCACTGCACGTTGCAATGACGCGTTTGTCCAGCTACGCATGACCAATGTTTGTTGTCTAGCGAACTCATCCACAGTTACTGTGCCTTCTTGCAATCGCTGCATCAAAGGAGATCTAATCACCACATGTTCTGCTTTAATCAACTCCAACGAATATTTGGTAAAAAGTGCATGATCAACGCAGTCATCGTACCAACGGACATGAAGCGGAATGGTAAATTCAAGTAGTTCCTGTGGCGTTAAATGAGCTTGGGCACATTCATAAAGCAAATGCATGTGCATGGATGCAGAAGCCGTAGCTGCTTGCGACCGTTCCCATGAGGGGATCGACAGAATGAGAACGCCACCCGAAACAAGCTCACGGGATCGATGTTCTAAGAAGTGCGCATAGTCCAAGTGAGACTGGCGTGCAAATGCTAAACGGTCTGGGTCATCTTCTGGTATGTATGCAGAGCAACAATGATTTTTCAAATTGCACGGCTTCTGAGAAAGCCAATGAAGTGATGAAGATGAATAGCCAATGGAAAGGCAATTCTCTGGAAGACATTGTTCATAGAATGATCTCCCACTAGCCACGCCATAGTAAGATGAGTTATTTTCTGCATTAAGAACTTCAAATACTGATGACCAATCGTTGTCAGGCAAATCGTTGTGCACAACCAGTATCGGTTGAGTTTCAGCGACTTTTTTCTTTTCTCTCAATGATTCAATAATCATATTCATAGCATGAAATGAATTGAGACCGTGCGCTGAGCCATAATCAGCGATGATAGTTAGAGATGAACTTGAGGAGAACACGTTGATCGCGTGATCGATGTAGGATTTTGAAGTAACTACAACGGATAGTTGACTTGAAGAATTCAAATTATAGCATGAGCTCATGTCCGAAGTTGATGCTGCGGCCATTTCTTCAACGAAAACTCCAACGAAAAAGAGTTGTATTTAAGTAAGAGATAAGAAATTTAAGCAACTCTTGCTGACGCCTATGACGAAAGATCTTGCTTAGTCAAAGATAAGATTCGCGTTGTTTTGAAGTGTCATCGTGTTGTGTAATAACCTGACAGGCTATATCTTTTACAGTAACTATCAACTTGAGCCTACCAAGGTCGTGGTATGATAACATCTCACGGAATAGCTGTATGTCTGTATCGAACACTCTGATCCACTTAAAGCTATCTCTAACTTCACATATAACGTTCATCATAGTGAAGCATGGTTCGATTAGAATCTGATGTAAAACCAAACTGAGATTTTAATCAATCCTATGGATGTTCTTTATTGGTAGCCAAAACTCTCGATTGATATCTATACAAATGATTGATGCCCAGAAAATGTATAAGAACGTTTGTCCTGATACTGATTCCTTGCCAAACTATCGATTTTTTAATGGATGTTTCGCGCAGAACCGTAATCTTTTTTAGTAAAATCACCAAATTTTGATTTCGATCTCAAGCTTTGTTCATATGAAAAGATCAATTAGACAAGCTCGTGTGAAAAAAAATCAAGGTTTTCGTTCTACATTTTGAATCAAAATATTTTCAACATCTGACGAAAAATCTATTTTTATGTCTGAATTTTCAAGAGGATTTATCCAATATTTGGTTTCTCCATCAAAGTTTCATTATTCATAAGGCTATTTAGAGAAATCAAGAAGAAAAACATACATAGCTTTTTGACTAGTTTGTGGTATAGGTGCTGCTTGGAGGTTGTTTCGTAAGTCCTATTTTTTCACCTTTTGAACTAATACTAGCTGTCGCTCTAGACAGAAAGCCAGTCTGAGTTAGAGTCCTATCGCTCAATCACTTGAGCCCCAATTATAAACTGCCTAGGAAGATACTAGTTAGGAGGGCTGCTTTATACCACAAGGTAGTCAACATACTACAACCCGAGTGATCTGAAGCACGCAGTCGTAATGACTCACTAAGAGTCACTTAAAGTTTGATGGGGCCATAGTACCTTGGAGGTATGTGGAGGAAAGCTTAATCACTCAGCTGTAGAGACCGATCATCTGGAAAGAGAATGCATATAGGAGTATATGAGGATATAGGTGTGTTTGTGAATAGTGATCGACTGATAATTCAACTCCGCACTCACATCTTACATGGATATGCGAAAAGTCTCGATATTCCAACCTTCTTATCGTTGTGTTTGCTACTGATTGCGATTTCAGATATTTGCTTACCATGCATCTGACTAGAGGGTTTGTTGCAAAGTATGTAAATACTTCGATATATGATTATAATAAGGTAGTTGAGATTGACTCATCGCAAGACTGGTCAACCTGGTTTACCATGCAAACTCACGAAATCTTTTCTGGATTCAAGATGCAGTGTAATAGTACATTAAACTTCGTAATCGTGTACTTCCTGAAGCTGCATCAATGCCAATTGGGAGAAAAAGATCTCTTCGCCGAAATATTGATGAAAAGGAATCGGGAAAAAATCCAAATTTGCCCATGAACGTGTTCAGACGGACATAGCGCTGAAAGATAGGCCACATTTTAAGTCTTATCTTAAGCTTTCACGTGATGATATAACAACTACTTCCGAGGATGTTGATAATTTTGAAGTTAAAAGAGTTTATATCCGTCTCTTACGCAGTTTCCTGTAAGCCTATATGGATTATGATACATCGGTTCCAGAATGTAGGTATCCTAGTTGGCTAGCAGTTTTTTTAATACTATATGTGGCAGATCTCACTTATAGTAGTCGATGAAGAGGGCATTTCAGAAATATTTTTCCGAAAAGAGAGAAGATAATTTATTTATCATTACTTTTGCAGTTTTTTTTATCAGGCTTAGTGTTCCTGCTTTACTTGCAATTTTTCTTCTTGTACATCAGCAGGGCTTGCGTGATTCTACTCTCTCATTATGAAAGCACAACTCATACCCATACGAAGGCACTATTTGGCTAATAAGATCAATGTCAATAACTTTCTGTTCCATAGCAAATTTCACTATTAAACAATATCTTAAACAAGCCTGCAACCTACTTTTACTGATCGAATTAGAAATGAGAGTAAATTCGGCCAGTTGAATTGTCCATTACAGTCCCTAAATCATTACAAACGATGACGAAAAGACTTCGCTTGGAAGAAATCAGTCTTTGATGCATTCAGCGATCTTCGTATGTACGGTCTTATTGGAATGGCCATGTGTCCAGTTTTCGATCATGACTATAATATTTTTTTCCGAACTTGATACTGATATTGCTTTGATGAAAGCGGCAAAAAGCTATTATGATACAAGTGAGCTCAATCGTACGAGTTCAATTTGAAAAAAATTTGATGAAGTTCAATATGATGACTGTTGCAGCTAGTCAGTAGATAATGAGTCTATCTTTGTATTCATGTTTGATATTAGTTTTGTCTGAAGAGGAAACTGATGATGTGTTTGTTTTTCAGCAAGTGGGAAATCTCGGTTTCATCGAAAGAAAGTCTTCGACGGTGGTCTGCTAGCTTTTGGCAGATGATACGATTGTGCCATTATCTGAATGCCTGAAACGTTCAATAGTCGAGTTACTAGATGAATAAAAGGAAAAATAGAAGACACTATAGATTCGTTTGATATGTTTTCTTATTTCTTGTTGCTCATTTTTCAATAAAAATAGGGAACTGAACTATTTTGTTTTCCCAGTTGACTTGATGCCTATCATATGTGATCTGATGAAGACCTTCAGCGCTATGTGAAATCTCCAGAAATGCGAAGAAGATTATGACAACTCAATGAGGAATTTGGAACTACGATGAGAATTCAGCGAATCTTGGAAATACAGGATTCATCGTTTTCTCCTTGAGTTAGTCGGACACATGTAAATTTGTCTAAAGTGAAGTGACAGTTATAGGCAACTGTCGACAGTATAGTTCATGCTGCACCGCACGTCCTCTATCTGCTTTTT